AATGGGGATAAAGTTTGGACCATTAATTTGATTAGTATAATATTTTGGAAGTTATAAATTTTGTACTTTTATGAAAGTTAATTTATCAAAGAACATTTTCATATCATTTTTATATTATAAATAATTTCCCATAAAAATATAGAGTTGGTCAAAGTTGAACATGATTGACCCAAAAATTCAAAGATGACAAAGTTGTAAGGGACGGAGAGAGTATATAATAAGTACATATTAAGTAGATAATAAGTATATAAGCGGATATAATATACGAAGTATGTAAATATAAGTAGATAATAAGTACATAGTATATAAATAGATATAATAATTGTATAACTAATTTAAATAGATGTAATCAGAGCCGACCATGAGGGGAGTTACCCCAGGCAGTTGCCTAGGGCCTCATTTTCCACGGGGGCCTCCAAGAAAATGCGTAGTAGTAATACAAGTACTCCGTTTTAGTTTTAACTTTACTTGCCGACTGAATTGCTGGTTTGGCGGCTTGTAGTTGATGCAGACAGGGTAGTGCGGTACTATGATTCTAACATCTAATTGGATTAAGGTATATCAAAGGTCCTTAAAAAAAGGTATATCAAAGGTGAAGTAAAATTACTTGACTAAAAGAAGTCATATGGTAAATTGGTTATTGGTATTACGGGTATACCCATTTTTGTAGGCCAATGGTATTAAAAAATTGAGTATTATATTTTGTAGAATTGCTGCAATGCAGTCCATATAAAGTATAGTATGATAGTAGTACTTATAAAGTAGGCATAAATTATGACCAATAACTCCTCCAATTAAGTTTACAATTTGATTTTTTAAACCAAACATTGTTAACTACTGATTGTTAATAATTCAAAAATGGTACTCCCTCCGTATTTAAATGATCCATACATTAGGCTATGACACAAAAATTGAGGGAGAATAGTTGGGGTAATGAATATTATAGAAAAAGTATGAGACAAAGTGAAAAAGTGGGAAAGAGATGATAAAAAAAAAGTAAGAGTAGTTGAGTATTTTCAAAGGAAACACTTACCAAAAAAGAAAAGTGTATGAAACTTTTAAATACATCCCAAAATGGAAAGTGTATGGAACTTTAAATTACGGAGGGAGTATGGAACTTTAATACTCCCTCTACATACTCCCTCCGTCCCAATATAAAAGGCACATTTGTGTTTTCAAATATTTTAAGGAAGAACACTGTTTGGCACTGTTTAGACACTGTTTGGACATTGTTTGACACTGTTTAGACACTGTTTGGCACTGTTTTGCACTGTTTTGTTTGCCAAAAAGGGAAATGTGCCTTTTATATTGGGACGACCCAAAAAGAGAAATGTGTCTTTTATATTGGGACGGAGGGAGTATTATTTTATAATACCAAAATAATTTTGAATACCTCATCTTCACATATATTAGGAAAAATTGATAGTGATAATTCCAACTATTGGCGGTCCGCTCATAATAATCTCAACTATCGATTATTTCATAATAATCCCAACTTTATGGACCTTCCACCAATAATGGTCCAGCGTGACCGACTATAAATAAATTCTTATAGTTTCTCAAGTCGATGAAAAGAGATATAGCAACTAATCTCTATATATAAATAATTCAATCTTTTAATTTTTACTCTTAATTTCTATTTAAAATTCACATTTTATAACAGGTAATATCCGATCATGGACCATTATTGGCGGATGGTCCATATAGTTGGGATTATACAAAAATGATCAATAGTTGGGATTATTGTTAGGGGACTGGCAATAGTCGAGATTATTATTTGCAATTTTTCCTATATATTATTGAAATGTTAGTTTATTATAAGTTTTTTAAGTGTATATTTTTATATATTAATAGTCAAACATTGATGTTGCAGACCGTGAAAATACAACCGTGAACTTAATTAAGGGACAAAAATATATAGTATATGGTAAAATAAAGGTAGTAAATATAATTATTTTTGTACTTTAATGATGGCAAAAGTAAACCATAAAAATGTTCATTTGTATATTATAATATGGAGTAACTATGTTGATATACTCATCATTGTAATATATGTCAATAATATTTAAGGTTAAATTGCTATTCAATTAGTTTAGTGTCTTTTATTTTCACAAATAGTATGATGCATGCATTTTGAATACTCTTTGTTTATCATATTATGTGCTTTTATTCAAGTTATCTCATACCATGATACTATGTACTAGGTATTATGTAGTATAACTTTTTTAAACAAGTGGTACAGTAACATATTACTACGTCATACTAGCTCCGTCCCATTCAACTTTGTCAAGTTGAGGTTGAGTGTGAAATTGAAATAATAAAAACTGTACTGTTGATATTTGTGTAGAGAATAGAGAAATAAATAGAGTCATAAATTCATTGTTTTTAAAGAAAAGTGGCAAGTTTTTTAGACAAACAAAAAAGGAAATTTGGTAAAGGGTGGTGGAACGAAGGGAGTACTATGTATAATATTCCATCCAATATTATATATAGTGTGTTGCCTAGGGCCTCCTCAACTCTCAAGACGGCCCTGGATGTAATATACTCCCTCCGTTTTCTTTAATATTAGTCCTCTTAGGCTTTGGCACGAGTTTTAAGAGGAAAGTAATAGGAGTAGTGTAAAAGGTGTAATGGGTGGTGGGTAAATAAAAAAGTAGGAAAGAGAAAGTGGTAATGGTAATAAAAGTGGAGTATAAATGTATATTGATTGTAAAAACTTTCCTTAAAGGAAAGGAGGACAAATAAAAAAAACAGCCCAAGATGGAATGGAGGACTAATAATAAAGAACGGAGGGAGTATATTAATAGGTGTAGAGAGAATTGGAGAAGATGAAGATGATTAGAAAATATTAGAGAGTATGAACAATTGGAGAATATGTGTAGCAAAATGTTTAGAAAATACGTGTCTTTATAGTTTTTTTTAACCCCCAACCCCCCGACCCTCCCAAACCCACCCCCAATGGCACTATAGCCATTGGAAACGGCTAGTAGGTAGCCTGACCAATTAATTCAAACCCAATGTTCTTTGAAATCTTGACAGTTAGGCCTGAACCGTGTGGGCCCGCACCGTCCCACTAAAATCCTGTCCCATAGCCAGTCTGCTTCTTCTTCCAGGTTGGGTCCCGATCAACCGGGCCGGACCGGGCCTTCACATTAGCGGTCCGAGTCGGCAATCGGGCTGTCCGGGTCGGCCCGTCTAGTCCACCCCTAGATCAGAGTAGAGAAGTACACTCTAATTCAAAATATTGTCAAAGTACATATAGCAAAATAAAACTTTTTTCCTTATTTTTTAAACAACATCGAAACATCGAATACTATCAATTTATTCCACTTTGTCAAGTAACATAACTGTATAATGTTAAATAGTATCAAACAATATTAAAAATGGTGCATTACATTGGATTGTTTATCATTTGTACATATAAAGACCATTCTAAAAAGTCAAAGAAAAATGCAATTTCCCTAAACATTGTGAAAGTAAAATTAAGGAATTTCAGAAATCGGACTTCACATCTCATTATGAACCATTCGCCTTTCAATTAGCATCCTGATAGTGAGTTATTTCACAAAAACTTTATAACTCATAATTAAATTAACATTTGAGTGTAGCGCACTTAAAATCTATGAAAGAAAGGTTAAGTAAGATTTATAGCTATTTTATAATAATCACTTAAGTCCATGTAGTTTTTAATGATACATATATTTACTTGTAAAAATGATCATTCAAACAATATCACTTGAATTAGTTTACCGGTTGTGACATTATATATGTTATTTATTTAATTATTTATTTATTTATTATTATGCATCTATTTACTTGTAAAAATGATCAGTTTTTTATGTGTATGTGACATTAAACACTTTGTGTTAAAGTCCCACAACAGTAAATTAATACGGATTAACTAATAGAGTGTTATATTAATATCTGGGTTACTCTGACGTGCACTTTGTCGCGGTGTGCACTCAAACTAATAATACAATACAACAATTATACGTAGTATAATGAAGTAAGGTTCGTATCCACAGGGAAAGGAATATTTCTCTTTTTAATTACAAAGTAACAAAAGGGGGGGGGGTTAGGTTTGAGTTATTTAATTTAATTAAATACGAAGATGAACGAGTTATGTGGTTTAATTAATGAGAAGGAGACTTGGCTTTGCTTTTATCCACTTAATGAAATGTTCGTCGATCCCGGTTATATCTTTAACTATCTTCCTCTCGAATACTCAATCGAGGAGTATATCCAATTCATCGAGGGTAGTTATTAATAACGATACGTGTTCATTAATAAAACTTACTACCGAGTTAATATAGAACACGCGCCGTATATTCACTCGATAGTAGCAATAAAATCAAGATGAAAACGATTGAGATTGATAACCTCAACACAAGCGGTTTATTGGTTTAATCAATATAATTAATTCCCCTTGGTTTATTAACCATGAAACGCATGCATTAATAACCCAAGTTTACTACCGCGAAAGGACCGAATTAATAACAAGCGTATTAATCGACCGATTCTAGTAATAATTAATATATGAAACAAAACTAGTTGATCCTTTAAGTAATGTTCAAAATATTAATATGAAATATGAATAGGAATTAATTAATACTCAAGAAAGAATATTAAAGAAGATGAATCCTACTATGGTTAATATCAAGATGTTAACTAATTGTCATCTTAGTAACACTCCCCGATACTAACGTAGAGGAAGAAATAACTATTACTATAACTAATGTCAAGATGTTAACTAATTGTCATCTTAGTAACACTCCCCAACATTGATATAGAAATAGTATTTAAAGGAAGAATTAATATTCAAGGAAGAAGATTAAAGATAATAACTCACAACTTACAAATTCATTAAGCTTCAAAGTAGCAAAACCAAGATGGAAGAGTTTAGCTCCTCATTTGGAGACTAAACATGCTATAAAAATATAAAAGAAATACTATTCTAAACTGAGCTTAAAAGTATGGAAGAAGGGATTCTTTTTAGTGAAGGAAAAGTGTGCTATTTATAGGTGTTTTTCAACACCTTTGGCCGAGTACCCGACCGGGTAGAGTATCTACCCGACCGGGTACCGGTCCGAATCAAATATTTTCCACGTTCTAGTGTTCTTCAGCACGTCGGGTTGTCTTCGGTCAAGTCTCACCCGACCGGGTGAGGTATAGGGCCCGACCGGACCAAGCAATTTCCTGGAGACTACAAATGTTAATTCAAACCCGATCGGGTGAAGGTTTCTACTCGGTCGGGTTTATACTTCTGGGCAGCATTCTCCTTGTTTTTCTTCCTTTTCCTTGCCAACAATTCTACCAAAACTTCCTAACCCACAAATAAAAGCTAAAAACACTTACAAATAAAAAGTAAACAAATGTTTACAACTACACACAAATGGTAAACAATCCACACAAAACAAGATATAAAAATACACATTTATGCACTACTAACTAGTGCATATCAAATACCCCCACACTTGAACTTTTACTCGTCTCGAGTAAAATAAATCATGTCCATGAAGTCTTCAAAACAACAGTATCAAGACAACCACCATAAAGTGTATCTAGAAGCAGAATGATTACAAAAAATATCCCCAACATCAAGAGGTCTTCGAAATCGGTTCTCTCACCAACGAACTCTCTTTCATCATCACCCTTAGGATCCTGCAAAGTCAAAAGAAATAATTTCTCTCATTTTCTCATTTTTGCCTAGGTGCCCTTTCGGGTTTTCATCCCAGCTTCCCACATTTTTCTGTTTTAATCCTCACAAACTCACTCTTATTTTTGCTTATTTTTGCTCAAGTTGCCCTTTGTGGGTTTTCAACTTAACAAGCTCTTTTTTTTTTTTTTAAAGAAAATAAAGAGTGTGAATGTAAGCTTACCAGAACAGTCTCCCCCCAGCCGAGTCATTGCACTGTCCCTAGTGCCCGCCCATACCGCCACCATGGTGTCTGTCCTCATCCATGTGATTACCGCCATAACCACCACCATCGCCTCCACCACCGGAACTCGAGCCTCCAAAATAACCCCATGCAGTGGGATCATACCAAGAGGGTGCGGGAGGGGGAGTGGTCATAGATGCAAATCCACCCTGATGCGCCATATAGGAATAAATAGGACCATAGGTCCTCCGTAGGTCCTCCTCATCTCTCCGGCGGTCTTCCTCATATCTACGCCAGTCTGCCTGCCGCTGCTCCTCCATCCTCTCAAAGCTCTGCCTGTGCTCCGTACGATATAATCCAACTTCATTCCGAAGTTGGGTGTAGTTGTTGTTGAGCATGGCCATGTTATCGAGCATTTGTTGCTCGAAAGGTGTGTAGTGAAAAGCTTGAGGTTGTGGTTGTTCAGGCATTAGTGGGGGTTGTTCGGGTATGATTGGTGGTTCTTCATCATCTTCATTTTGGATGGGTTCTTCATAATGATCCGGGATTGCCCCGGGAAGACAATAGTGATGACCATCCCCGATTTGGTGATCGATGATATCCAGGGGGACGTCGGCCGAGGGTATTTGGAGGTAGATGGAGGTGCGTGGGAGGATGCGCCAATTATAGACTTATGCCCCGGTTGGTGTTTTGTGAGAGGATACCAAGTCTAGGGTCTTTGTTACAAGCCATTCAGTGCAAATAAGTTGTCTTGAGGTGATGGGGCCGTGGTCTACAAAACCATATAAAGTGGCTATATGTGTGATGAGGCCCCCCATCACAATTGGCCCTGTTGATGTTGCCACGTTGTAGAAATGGGTCCATAAGATGGTGGCAACATCAACTTGATCCGGGCCAGGCAAAACAGCTTGCGCTAGAACGCACACATCCCAAATCCGTGTGTGATGATTATTTGGTCTTCCGAGAAAACAATTTGAGCAAAATTTTAAGAATAGTCGGAAGACCGGATGTTGCACACGGTTCACGCTCAGCTTAGAAAGATCAACCACAGGTTTTCCTGTCATTCTCTTCCACAACTCATATCCCACAAGAGAATCATATGTACGTGCTTCATCAAACAATGGGAGGCCAAAGTGTTGAGCAAATTCCCTTTTGGTTAATGAACGATTTTCATTTAGTAAACGAAAGGTGATGATGTCATTTGCATGATCATCCACATCTTTTGTATACGCAAACGAGCTAAAAAAATTCATACACCAAATGAGGATATGTAACATATTGCATTCCAAATATTCTAGTCATTCCAATTCTCGCAAATATGTCACGCATCACAACATCAATCCACAGTAATGCTAGAGTAGTTAAGCACATGAAATGGGATTGTTTTACCTCCCACTTTGTTTGGTTGATGAAGCTTTCCCTTTGACCCTCCGTAGCCAAATCCACGTTCTCGTAGCCCGGCACCGGTGGTATAGCTCGGTTACCCCTTGAGGAAGAGCCTTTTGATTTTCTTGGAGCCATTGAACTTGATTTTTTTTTTTTGGTTTTTTGGTTTTTTTTCTTGAAGGATTTTCGGACTTTTGGCTAGGGTGAGTTTTGGAGAGTTTTTATGGGTATGGTTTGGAAGAGAATGGTGAGGAGAACAAAGATATGATATTGGTTGGGGATTTTGGGCTTGATTTTGGACCTTGAATGCCCAAAAATGGGGATTTTTGGACCTTGAGGTAGGGTTTATGGGTTTGGTTGATTTGGTTGTTTTGGGGGAGATTGATGGGTATAGAGTGGAAGAGGGTGAAGAGGAGATGAAGAAAGTGGTGTTATTTGATGGATTTGGTGGAGAAATGGGGTAGATTCGAAGTTTTTTGAGCTCAAAAATGGAGGATTTGGGGGTTTGGTTCGTAGGAAGAAGAAGAAAAGTGGGAGGGGAAGAGGTCGCCCGACCTGGTATAGAGCAGTTTCCTGTTCACCCGGTCGGGTGGGGTATGAGACCCGGTCGGGCCTTTCGATCCCGCCTATCCAGTAGCTACTGGAACGAATACCCGGCCGGGTGAAATAAAGTACCCGGTCGGGTATTAGTTAATTTTCACTATTTTATTTTATTTTTTTGTCCGGCCGGGTATGTGGTTTGACCCGGTCGGATTTGCAAAGCAGTGGTCTGGTACCAAAAAAAAATTAGGTACCCGGCCGGGTGTGTTGGAGTTACCCGGTCGGGTAGTTTCAATGTTTTTTTTTTTTGAAAAGGTTTTCTCACACACAAAAATAAATGAAAATGCTCAAAATACAAACTTGGGTTGCCTCCCAAGAAGCGCTTGATTTAACGTCGCGGCACGACGTTATTTTTATTTTATTTTCTATTTTAAGTGGGATCGTGAACAATCTTGTTTGGCCTTGTACTCATTTTGTTTTTTGACCTTTTCCAGTAAGGTCGAATTTTTGTTTTCATTGCCTCCTCAACCGCAGATGATCCCCTATTCTCAATTTTTTAAAAAATTGGGATTTTAGTAGATTCCTTCAAAGACTTTGGTTCTTGTGGTCCACAAACAGTTAAAGAACAAAGAGATTGGGCTTTAATTTGTTTTTTCGTAGAGTCAAAGATGTTGAACTCTACTTTTTGGTCATCGAACTCTAAAGTTAATGAACCACTAGACACGTCAATTTTTGTTTTTGCGGTTTTTAAGAAGGGTCTACCCAAAAGGATGGGTGTTGTTTGGTCATCATTTCCCATTTCAAGGACATAGAAGTCAACATGAAAAACCATATTTTCTACTTCTACTAGCACATCTTCTATTACACCCTTCGGGTAAGTATTAGAATGATCCGCTAGTTGAATCACTACACCTGTTTGATGTAGTGGGCCGAGTTGTAGGGATTTATAAACAGAGTAAGGAATGACATTTATAGATGCCCCTAAATCCAACAAGGTGTTAGAAAATGCGGTGTCCCCTATCTTGCAAGGTATGGTGAACATGCCCAGGTCGCTACATTTTTCGGGAAGTTTCTTTTGAAATAGAGCCGATACATGTTCACTAACCTTGACCTCTTGCTTTTCTTTTGACTTATCCTTTCGTTTTGTTTTGCATAATTCTTTTAAAAATTTAACAAAACGGGGAACATTTTTAATTGAGTTAAGGAGCGGAATGTTTACCTCACACTTGGCGAATGTCTCATAGATGTCAGTATCTTTCTCCAGCTTCCTTGTCTCCATCAGTGCCTCGGGAAATGGGGCTACTGGTTCATACGATGCATATGGTGGAAGTTTCGCCTTTGTGGTTCCCTCCTCAGATTGAGCTTCTTCTTCATGATCAACCTCCTTGATCTCTTGGTCATTTTTTTCTACCCCCTTCAACATGATTGCATTCACATGTTGTCTCGGGTTTTGCTCCGTTTGAGATGGGAGTTTACCCGAGTCCTTTGCTTCAAGACGGCTTACGGCATTTGAAATTTGGCTAACTTGGGTTTCCAAATTTTTAATGCTTGACTTCGTTTCATGTTGGAATTGTATCATGGTTTGTTGAAATTGACCCATGCTTTGTTGCATGGTAACCATGTTTGAAGTCAAAGCTCGTATCATTTCATCCGTTGACATATTAGATTGAGAGTTTGAACCTTGATTGACAAAAGATGGTTGAGAAGATGGTTTGGATTGTTGGGAGTTTCCATACCTCAAGTTTGGATGATCTCTTAATCCAGGGTTGTAAGAGTTTGAGAATGGATCGTACCTCCTTTGTTGGTGGCCTTGGAAACCCAAGGCATTGACTTGCTCTGTATCGTTTTCTTGAAGAGTCGGGCATGAGTCAGTGGGATGCCCTTGTTGCGTACAAATGCCGCAGACCTTGACTTCTTGGGTCTTGGATTTTAAGAGGAAATCCTTAACCAAGGAAGTCAAGCCGGCAACTTGACTCTCCAGTGATGATGTCGATTCTGCCGCGGCAACTCTACGAGTTGAGGATCTGCGACCGAATTGCCGTGAGTTCTCGGCCAATTCCGAGATAAGATTTATAGCTTGTGAAGGAGTTTTATTAACAATGTCGCCTCCACAAGCGGCGTTCACCATTCTTCTATCATCATCAACAAGACCATCATAAAAGTATAAGATGAGGTCTTGTTCTGAGTAGCCATGATAGGGACAGCTAGCACATAGCTTCTTAAATCTTTCCCAAAATTCATATAAGGATTCATCATCCTTTTGCTCGATGTTGCTTATTTGCTTTTTGAGAGAAGATGAGATGGAAGCAGGATAATACCTATCGAGGAAGCACTTCTTCATTTGTGCCCATGTGTTGATGCTTCCCGAAGGAAGATAGAAAAGCCAATCCTTCGCGGTATCTTTCAAGGAGAATGGGAAGGCTCTCAGTTTTATTTGCTCTTCTGTGACACCGTTTGGGCACATGCTTGTGCAAACGATGTGGAACTCCGAAAGATGTTTATTCGGGTCTTCTCCTCTCATGCCATGGAAAGATGGCAATAAATGTATGAGCCCAGATTTCAGCTCAAATGTATTACCTTCATCAAGAGTAGGAAAGGTAACACATAATGGTTGTTGATTCAAGTTTGAAGCTGTGAGCTCCCTTAGGGTCCTTGTCTCGAGAGCCATGTGGAATGACTCTTCGGATTCGCTAGAGCTAGCGTTTGAGGATTCCTCCGAGGGTGTGTGCGGAAATAAATTTCTCAACCTCTCGAAGGCTTGTTCTATTTCGGGATTTGTTTGGTAGGTGATTTGGTTTATAGATCGGTGTTTAACCATATACTCAAACAAAGCTCAGAAATAGAAAATAAGAACTCTTTATATTTTTAGTTAATTATTTTTTTTTTTTGATTTTTCTTGAAATAAAATAAAAAGAAAAATAATTGTCTTTCCCCGGCAACGGCGCCAAATTTGACGTGCACTTTGTCGCGGTGTGCACTCAAACTAATAATACAATACAACAATTATACGTAGTATAATGAAGTAAGGTTCGTATCCACAGGGAAAGGAATATTTCTCTTTTTAATTACAAAGTAACAAAAGGGGGGGGTTTAGGTTTGAGTGATTTAATTTAATTAAATACGAAGATGAACGAGTTATGTGGTTTAATTAATGAGAAGGAGACTTGGCTTTGCTTTTATCCACTTAATGAAATGTTCGTCGATCCCGGTTATATCTTTAACTATCTTCCTCTCGAATACTCAATCGAGGAGTATATCCAATTCATCGAGGGTAGTTATTAATAACGATACGTGTTCATTAATAAAACTTACTACCGAGTTAATATAGAACACGCGCCGTATATTCACTCGATAGTAGCAATAAAATCAAGATGAAAACGATTGAGATTGATAACCTCAACACAAGCGGTTTATTGGTTTAATCAATATAATTAATTCCCCTTGGTTTATTAACCATGAAACGCATGTATTAATAACCCAAGTTTACTACCGCGAAAGGACCGAATTAATAACAAGCGTATTAATCGACCGATTCTAGTAATAATTAATATATGAAACAAAACTAGTTGATCCTTTAAGTAATGTTCAAAATATTAATATGAAATATGAATAGGAATTAATTAATACTCAAGAAAGAATATTAAAGAAGATGAATCCTACTATGGTTAATATCAAGATGTTAACTAATTGTCATCTTAGTAACACACCCCGATACTAACGTAGAGGAAGAAATAACTATTACTATAACTAATGTCAAGATGTTAACTAATTGTCATCTTAGTAACACTCCCCAACATTGATATAGAAATAGTATTT